CTTGCAGAAAAAAGTGTGGTGGCGCAATGGAATTTGCATCATATAGCATGTAGGAAATCATGATGCTTGTGATCATCAGTGGCGTGAAACAGAGAGACCACTTCTGCTTCCCCCTGCACCGGAGGGCCCAACAGAACTGCTTTGTTGTAGTCACTTCTGTCTTTGAAATCACATACATGACACACGCACACAGTCAGATTGTATGAGAATCGCTGCGGCTGCTGCACGACTGAGCGATGAGATTAATAAAATAAAAAAAAGTTTCTGCGTGTGGATCGTAAGAAGTGAATTCACCCTTCATGCTAAATTGCGGAAAGGTTTAAAAATAATCGTACTCTGTTCGCTGCCCACGTGGTCACGTTTCGCTCTGCACAAAAAAAACACTAAGTTGTTAAAGTCAACCCAGATCCAGTTAGGTAAGATGCTTTTAATCCTGCCTACACTGGTGCTATTCTTCCCCTGACAACTGCTGATGTTCAGTTGTGCTTATATCGCCCTTAAAGAACGCAATGAATCAGAATCGAGTATCTGTCGGCTGGCTCGCGGCATTTGCCCCGTCAGTTGTCACTTCCTTCAGCCTCTGAAGAAACAGACAAAGTTTCACAGCTCGTCTTTTCCTTGCGCAACATTCCCCTAACGTGTTCAGCCAAAGTGTGGGTTGGCTAAAAAAAATGTTTTTTCTTCTTTTCTTTTTTTTTTGTGCAACTATTGTTTGTTGCTCAATTGTGCCAGACAGGCGGATGTAACCTGACTGTGTTTTACGTTTAATCAAACATCTCTAGAGCTTTAAGGTTTTACTTTTAGTTGCAGAGTTTTTTATTTATTTGTTTTATTTTTGCTTTTAAGAGAAAATTAGGAGCATAAAAAGTAATGTCAGGTATGCCGACTGCTCCTTATTTAATGTGTTAGGAGACAAAATCTTAGATTTGTTGGTGGTTATCTGGCTTTTAGACTGACTTACCAGCTTTGTGTTTTGTTGACTAAAAATATACAGTTGAAGCTATAAAATATTTGCTGAAGGCATTATAGATGAGAAATCAAATTTAAATTTCTAAAAAAGTTGGAATGTGTAAAATGTAAATAAAAAATATTTTATTCACAATGGATCATAGGAAACATGTCAAACTTTTTTTTAAAACTGGATGAAAGCATTTGTTCTAAAACCTATATAATAGTTTTGCATTGATAGTACAAGCTTCACATGTCAGAGGCACTAATGYACCCYCATATCATCAGAGAGGCAGGGCTGTTATGAATTCTGGCAGATAAGAGACTGGATGGATCTGTTTTTCTTTAGTATGGAGGTTGGGATGTCTTTGGTTTTCAAAATAAATCTCAAAGTTAGATTTTTTTTCCAAACCCAGATCGGTTTTCCACTTTGTTGACAAACATTTAAACTACCGTATTTATTCATGTATAATACGATCTCGAGTAAAATACAGTCATCATTTTTTGAGCTTAAAAAGCATAAAAACATCTAATCATCAATGCCTGTGTATAACCCCCCCCCCACACACACACACACACACAGATGATTTTTAGGGTTAAATTTCTAGTATTATACATGAATAAATACAATAAGTTTTAGTCCAGAAAAGACAACCGTGCTCCTTTCCRGTTTGAAATCCTRTGACGTTGATATGAGCTGTAAATGATGGAATATTACAAGCATTCCCAATTTTCCATTGAGGAGCTTTATTTTGAAATTGTTGCACTTTTTAACCTGAAGTGGAACCTTGTAGACTCTCTAAAATTAGTTTGAAAATTATCMTCCAGTTTCTTATTTGTACCACTTACTTTAGCAGTCTTCTGTTGCTTCCCGTCCCCAATGTTTATTTAGATGTTTTGCAGCCTTAAAATTCCAAAATAGCATCTTTTTTTTTTAACCAAAAGTATAGAATTCATCAGCTCACTATGTTCCATTGAATAAATATAGTGTAWAAGATTTGTGAATCATTGGATTCTTTTTATTTACCCTTTACACAACAACCCAGTGTTTTTGGAATGAAGGTTGTATCAGCCCCGTGACATGAGGTGGAAAACAAAAATCAAACGTCCACTGATGTGGTTTGTCAGTTCACTCCATGCACCTTTTATTATTTCCTGCAAACTTCAGGTCACTGATATATTGTGTAAACAGAAAAGTTTGGTCTTCCACATGAGTCAGACCCATATAGTGTTACACACCCTGTTATTTTCCATTCGGATCACCAATTGAAAGAAAATAATCCAGTATTTGAGACGCCTCAACAATGATAACCAGGATGTTTGTGGGTGTTGCCTCCGCTCTCATTTTATATTCACGTCTGTGTAAATGTAAGATATGGAAAACAGTCCATTTTCCTGTGAATGGAGGCATAACGCCTTTAGATTTTCATTTGCAAAAGAAAGACCTTGGACTTTTGAAGGGTACGTGTGCAGTTTGTGCTTCTCTAGTGCTCTTATTGTGCTTATGTGATTATACTTCTGTAGCTGTGAAGCTCGAGGAAGATTTTCTATTTAATTCCAGTCAGGGGAAAATAACCCCCTCCTCTCCTGAGAGAAAATAATACCCGTCTTGTAATGATGGGGTTTTATTGTGGCGAAGAGTGCTGTGGTGGTCACTTTTTTGGGTAGCTCAGCACGGCTTAATGTGGCAGCACTTTAAAGACTGGTTTTACCTTGAAGGTGTGCTGACTCAATGATTGTTTTGGAGCGTATGTTTTATTCAGGGGCTGTCATGAATGCGCTCGCCTCTAATACGGACAAACATCAGCTGTTTAAGATCGTCTCGTGATGAGAATGATGGAATTTGCAGCGGTTTTCGTCGAACCTCAAAAACAACATGACGTGGTTAATCTCTATGGGATATAATGAGATATTCAGAGTCTGTGTAGAGGATGAATATCACATACTATAACAGCAAATTATAACTCAGCAGCTGTAAAACTGACTGATGGAGCCACTTTTTGTGTTTGCTAATGTGGATTAGCTGTGGCGGTCATCCGCCTTTTTAAAAAGGCTTGTGTTGCTTTTAATTACCACATAAGCTTTAAGGTGTAAGAAAATATCGATGTACTAAAATATTTCGATATTTCATTTCCTGCAAAAGCACTGTATCGATTTGGCATATTTTTCTCTCCCCCATTTCTCTTGTTTTTTGTATTATTTTATATTTTGCTCTGCATTGACCGTGTGTCTTGAGTTACAATTTTAGAATTTRATCTTGATTTGATGTTTCATTACGTTGCTTATGTTTTATTATGTTTTAATTTCTGTTTCATTTTATCTTTCCACATTTTTACATTGTTAATGATTGTACAGCACCTTGTGAATATATTTCTGTGAAAGGCKGTTTTTAAATAAAACTTTACTTACTTACTTACATAAGCTTTTAGGTGTAAGAAAATATCGATACACTAAAATCTTGCAATATTTCATTTCCTGCAAAAGCACTGTATTGATTTTAATTAAGGCTTGATGGATGTGAGAAGAAATGTGAAATACGAATGCAGTTCTCACTGTGGTTCAGTGTTCTTCTAATATAAAAATAAACTGAATTTACTCAGTTTTTTATTAGAAAGGTTTAGAGTAAAAAAAAAGGCAATATATACTTTTGTTTACAGTATCACTATATATCGCGATATATCATATTGACTTAACAATGCAATGCAATGCAAACATGTCGTGATATGTATCGAATCACCAAATTCGTGCCAATACACAGCCCTAATAAATAGAACATTGATGTATTTTAAAAACACATAATTCCAGTTTTTTTAAGTGTAAACCCAATAAAACCAGTTTCTGCAAGTTTGAGATGGAGGCGGAGGACTGTCTCTTCATGTATTAGTCATCCGGGCTGAATGAGTGGTCTCGAACAGTCCCCGCCACCTCCTAGCATGATGGGTTCTGCACCCTGTCCTGCACCTGTACTCAAATCTAACTTTCCCTCCGTGTGCTGTTGACTCTGCGTGCAGCTCTTATCTGTACCTGTCTGATCCGGGGAGAAACTCGTTCCTGACCCTGTCTTATGAATCCAGAGTTGTTTTTCAACACACTCCGGGTGAACGGAGTCGCTGCCGTGGTTCCTGACAATAAAGAGAAGGATATTGTTGCTGATAAAGTTGGAGCTCTTTGCTTATAGCAGACACTGCTTTGCATACCTGAGCTCATTCTGAAGCAGGTGTCTACGGGAACTGTTGCCACCACCTACACGTAGTGCAGAAAAACTCCCTACGGTGCATTTCAGAAGCAAAAAAAAAGGGTGAATGAAGAAATGTAACAAATGTGACCAAAGCATTACCTCAGAGTTTTAGTTAAGTTGACGAAATGTTATCTGATATCACTCCTTTGTGCTGGCGAGCTCAAATTTATCTTGATTTCATGCCAAAGCAGGTGAAGAAAACATTTTCTTCCTGTGATTTCACTTCCTCTCAAGTTTTTAACCTTGTCCTGAGTGTGTGCTGCAGCTTGTCAGATCTGTTTCATGTGTGAGTAATCCTGCACACGCTGCACAGCAGATATTATCTCTGGGACTCTGTGTGTAAATGTGTGTGCCTGTCACAGGGATTTTAGATTGAAATTTGCATGTTTGTGTGTGAAATTGAGCATTTTCTTCTCGGTCACATTTCCTTAACTTGTGATTTGAGTCGACGGCGCATCTCTGTAGTCAGAACTGTAGTTCTTAAATTTTCTGCAAGTCACCGGGCTTAAAATCAGAAATTAACGTGCTAAAATCACAACCAGAGCAATAAAAACTTAAAAGATTGGGTAAGAGAAGAGTCACGTTTCAACTAAACTGTAACTTCTTTTAATATGTAAAAAATTTGGGAGACTTTAAATATTCAGTAAATTAATATCCAAAGAATTTCTCTCCAGTTTGACTGCTTTATGTTGATCAATGCATTACATTTTCTGTGTTTAACAGTTTGAGCAATGCTGCCTTTAGGCTCAGGTTTCTGGTGTAAGGAGGAACAGGAACAAGAGTCTGACGCTGTGCTATTCTTTGTGTCTCTCAGGTCTTTGTAGTCTGTCAGAGAAGTTTTCACCTCGCACCTTCACCGCTCCTGCTCGCGCCTCGCTGAACACTGGATGACTCAGCTCTGGCTTCAGCTTTGGATTCCCCCTCACTTCCACAGAAAAACATCGAAACCAGTTTGTCTTTTGTCTCCAGAGCTACCACCTGACGTTCGACTGCATGTCTCAAAGCTCCTCCACTGTCTTGCCTCCCCCGCATCTCCTCAAACTTTTCCACGTGACTCCAAACCTTCAGACGTTGCTCCGTCAAAGGCGCGGCTTTTAGTCGTTCCCCTCCCCCTCCCTGGTGAAAAGGTTTGATCGTCGACCCCAGCTCGGGCTAACTTCGGCGGTGGGGGGGGAGGAAGGGCCGCTGAACGCAGTTCCGCTTTCCCCGGAGATGAAGCTGCAGGCCGTCATGGAGAACCTGCACAGGCAGCAGAGGGCCAAGCTGCTGATGGAGCAGCAGCTGCAGCAGCAGGCCATCGCCCAGCATGCCCAGGTCCGCGCCGGGGACGACCCGATGGAGAGCCAAGCCCCGGAGGGAGAGCAGGCGCAGATGGCGGCCCTGGCGGCCATGCGGGCGGCCGCCGCCGGCCTGCAGAGGGTCTCGGACAGCCCCATGTCGAAGCGCAGCAGCGGCGGCGAGGAGGAGCACGACGACGACAACGACGACGGGGAGGAGCAGTACAAGGACATGATGGGCTCGGACGAGGAGGAGCAGATGTAAGCATAGAATATTTTTAGGAGCTCTAGTTCTCCGGGGCATTCCAAAATGTGGGTCTTTCCAAACCGTGTTGTGTTTCTTTCCCACAAACAAGCAGCAAACAGAAATGGGACGAGGGCGACTTTGAAAGTGAGATGGACGAAGACTACGACGACGACCTGGCCGAGGAAGGTCTGCCGACGGGTCACGACGCCGTGGCTCCCGGGAAGGGCATCCTTCTGCTGCCCCACCGCCAGCTGCACCCCCACCCTCAGCTGCTGAAGGGCCGTCCCAACGTGGAGCAGGAGCCCCGGGTCGCCGTCCTGCCTCCCCACGCGCCCCACGGCCACCTGGGGGCGCAGGACCACGGAGAGTGGACCTACGAGGAGCAGTTCAGACAGGTGGGACCCTCTGCTGTGTGAAACTCAACATCCTTCCTTTACATACGTCAAACAGATAAAGGTTTACCTGCTCAGCTCTTCCTGCTGCTGCAGACTGAGTCAGAGCTTCCTGGAGTGTCTGTTAACGCCCATTTCTTCCGCCTCCTCTGTTTGTAACGCATCGCTGCCTCTGCACGACCCGTCAACATCTTTTTCGGTTGATTCAACATGTCCGATCAGCACCAAGTCTGTCTGTGAGAGAGATGGCTCCCGATTGGCTTTTCAGCTTAATTGATGGACGTTGGCTGACAATTCCTCACGATTCCTGAAAAGTCTTTCGCTTCGGCCCATTAAATCAGAACCACTGCTGACCGGCTCGGCCACATCTGGCTCTTCTCACATTAAACCTGCGGTGCTTTTTTTTCTGCTTTTTTTTCTCTGATGAAATCTGACCAGGGTGGGAAATTAACTGCAGGCAGCAGTCAATTGTTGATCAAACGTAAGACGACACTTTTTAGGCCTGCCTTTGCCACCTGACATTATCTCAGGGTCCATGAGCTAAAAAAGATCCCTGTTTTGGTTTGTTGTACTGACTTGAGAGGCGACAAGGAGGCAAAGGAAGCAGGGGGGGAAGGGTGGGTGAGGGAGTGTTTTAACAGCTCCAACATACTGGAGTTGACTGTAAACATGCCGGTGGGCTGGATATTATGAGGGAGGCCCTAGTGGAATAAAACAAGCTGTTTACACCCAGAGCCTCTAGACTGTCAGCAGCTGTGTTTAGATGGAAGACAACTGTCAATTAAAAGAGGAAGAAGGAAGGGATGCAYGTCTCCTGCCGCCTCTTATGGCAGAGATATAGATTAATATCATTTTATGTTGCAAAGCCAATGAGTTGTAGCCAATTTGGTGGTTAAAAACAACATTATGCTTCAAATTTTTGCTCATTTTCTGTCCAAAAAAATCAGTTTACCTCATAGTTACACAAAGAAAGCCTTTCTTTTAGAATGTCCTGATGCATCTCWGTAATCCAGGTAAAAAATCAAAAAGAAAAAAATTGTATAGGTCTTCTGGACGGGTTCTTCTCTAATGAAACGTTTCGTCTCTCCTCCAAGAGACTTCTTCAGTCTGAGAGTTTCAGGCAAAATTCAGGCTTTTAAGCCCTGCCTCCATGTGACTGATACTCACATCACATGGCTATTGTTGACACCTAATTAACACTTATTGTTAACAGGGGATGGAGTGATACTGGCAATAGCAGCACTGTAGGAGAGGGACAACTGAAAACGGAGGCCTCCACCTCTGTTTAATGATGGACGGTCTTTCTTTACAAAAATGGCTTCTTTTACTCCTCTCTCAAACCAACGTTCCTCTCTATCAAGAATGAGAACATCCTCATCTCTGAAAGAGTGACCGCTGGCCTGTAAATGAGTGAAAACTGCAGAGTTCTGGCCATTAGATGTAGCTCGTCTGTGTTGGGACATTCTTTTGAACAGTGGCTGCTTTGTTTCCCCGATGTATAACTGGTCGCAGTCCTCCTGGCACTTAACAGCATATACAACATTGCTCTGCTCCATCATTAAACAGAGGTGGAGGCCTCTGTTTTCAGTTGTCCCCCTCCTACAGTGCTGCTATTGCCAGCATCACTCCACCCCCTGTTAACAATAAGTGTTAATTAGGTGTCAACAATAGCCATGTGATGTGAGTATCAGTCACATGGAGGCAGGACTCAAAAGCCTGAATTTTGCCTGAAACTCTCAGACTGAAGAAGTCTCTTGGAGGAGAGACGAAACGTTTCATTAGAGAAGAACCCGTCCAGAAGACCTATACAATTTTTTTCTTTCTTTCTTTTAGAAGTTAAAACGGTTTTAATCAAGTGACAGATTTAGTTTTATAAACGTGCCGTTAGCTCTGAACTCTGAAGCTTGTTTCACTTCGACTCTAAACCACCATTTTATTCAGAAGCTTATTACATAATAGAAGCAGCAATTGAAACCTGTTGCAAAACCTCCAGCCATAAACTYGTTCAACAGAAAATGAAACGTGCTGGTGTTTTATCCAAACAGAAACTCTCTAACTAAAATAAAATTTAAAGAAGCTTTTATTTTTGTTGCCTTTAAGTAGTATTTTTGGGGGGTAAATTAAGTTTGCCACATTTGCACGCAAATCAAATCTAAATAAAGATTCTGTAATTTAGGGCCCGTTTCTTGTAATTACAGAGGGTATGGAACACAACTCCTCTAAAACCTACACTCTGCTTCTTTAAATAGTGCACCCCTCCCTCCTCTAAATGTTTGTGTGAATGCCTCGAACTGGAGAGTGGGAGTTTGTTTACATGTGTCAGGTAGATTCACCGTGGCTTGTCGGTCGCTAACCGATAAAACAGGTTTAATCCAGTTGGCACCTTCACGCCGAGGAGCTCATTTGCAGACGATTAAATCTTTTGCCACACCTCAACATTAAACTAATTATGGAATGTAAAAAGTGTAAAACTAAACATGTTCAAGTGACGGGAACTGAGTCTGAGTTGGGTTTTAGAACTGCTGACAGCATTAAATTTCCTGAATCTGAGATTTTAGTTCTGCACAAATTATTCACATTCAAGGGACTAATTCTGCCTTTGGATGATTATAGCTATTAGTTGTAATTGCAGCTAAGGCGAAGACTGACTGCCTCCTGATAATTCTAACCACACTCATTAAAATACCTGATTTCTGCCCTATTATAGTCCCCAAGATAGTTTTTATTTTGTTTCCAAACCTGAATATTGTGTAACCTTATTGCTGTTGAAGTTAAATCTATATTTAAAGGAGACTTATCATGTAAACTCCATATTTTTAGCCATTAAATACATTTTGTTGTGTACTTGGAGGCTCTACAGCAGAGAATTAAAATTTATTCTCTCCTGGTGATTCAAATATATCTTTATATCTGTTTGGGTCATATTTTTCAACTCGTTCAGTTTTCTGTATTTTCTGACGTTTTCTGAACTATTACATAAAATGTTTGCGACAAAACTTCTAAATAAGGTCTGGACTTATCAACTACAGTTTGGTGGTCTTCATTCTCTGGTTCAGGTGTCAGACTCTGGCTCCAACATCTAAGGCTGGTTGGACAAGTCTTCCCTTGTTGACATCTTTTAATTCATTTGTAAATAAAAGGTTCCTGCGCAGCTATATAGTCATAAAATGCTCAAATTACAATGGACCGCTCTGGAAGCTGGAGGGGACAGTTTCTTTGAGAAAAAGGGGKGAAAGAGGGGCTTGTGGAGTTACAATAAGGYGGAATTCARACCAAAGTGTTGCAGTTCCACTTTACATAGACCCCAACTGAATGATTTAAATTTGAAAAAGAGGAATTGAAACGTCTCCTTTAATTCCTAAAACCTGTTTGGTTGACTTTTATCTGTGCCAGAGACTAAATACCTTTTTTTTTTGTTCCACAATCAAACAAGATGRAGGTGGAGCCTTACAAAGGTGGATCAGGCTCGTTACACTTGTGGGGGCAAGAAACTAGACACTATTTACTTTTACACGTCACAATTTTTATATATTGTTTTAACATCAGACAGTCCTTTGCATTTTAAACCCTTATCAGTAAATCTGCTGCTTCTAAAATCATTTAAAACAGGGAAACCTCCGCAGTGTTTTTCTGGAGTGTGAAATTTTAGGTTTGTTTCCATTTCTTTGTATTTGACTGCATTTATGCTATTTTAATATAATTAGCCACTTTGTAAAWTAGATTTTAATGATATTGTGAAGAAAACATGTTTCCTAAAAACCTAAAAGCCATTTTTTCCCATGTCTCAGGGGTAATGGTTTTAGATTGTATTTAAAATTTCAAACAGTTTCAGAATCMGGTTTATTGGCCAAGTATGTTGACACACACAAGGAATTTGTTTTCGGCTGTTCRTGTCTCCCTAGAATTAACACTATACAGATACTTTACATATAATTTACACATAGTACACAGTCTACAGAAAGATAGACATTTTGCGTCACTATACTAAGACATATCTGTGTAGTGTGCTTTACAGTGTTATTCGCAAAAAAGCAATATGACAGCMGTGAATATTAAATATTAGTTTGACCAGATTCTGTAGCTTGAAGACCTTGTAGTTGTGTTTTCCCCCGCGATCACTTTCAAAGATCAGCTTCTCAAACTGGGTTTTAACGCTCAGATTTCATTGCCTCTCTGAGGCCCGAAGGCAAACGTCAATCGCGTTATTTGAAGGCGCGGTTGTTTGCCTGCATCGTCTGCAGTGTTTTGGACACAAGTTAAATATGTTTACACATTTTTTTAAATATCTTTTGTTACACGGAGAAGCAGGAAAATGCTTTGTTTTTAATAGTTGTGCTCATTTATTCATTTTAAAGTGTAAAACTGTCATTTAAAACTCTACCTTCCACATGTTCTGTGAGGAGCTCATAGAGTTTTCAGGAGGGGTGGGGAGGAAGGGGTTAAGACGGCACAGTTTATTTTGGGCAGGTGGGTGGAGGCTGGAGGAATGTGCCTGATGAAGGGTGATAATGTGGCCACGAGGAACCTCAGATCCTCAGCAGAAACTTTGCATGCCTCTATCAGCGCGACRCAGTCGTAGCTCATCCCAAACTGTAAAACCGTCCCCTCCACTCCCGTGTTTGAGCCGTGGCGTGTGCGGGGCATGTTTTCTTGTCGCGCCGCGCTGTAAAACTCCCCGAAACAACATGGGATTCAGTCTAATAAGCTCATGGTGTTGGTGGAGAAACATGCAAAGCTTCTGGTTGAGGTTTGGCCCTAGGCTCTTTGTGGTAAAATATCAGCAAACCCCGCGCCACCGCCTTCCACTCACGACTGAAATTAGACCAAAAGGTGTGGTCTGGTCCACGTCTGATTATGCTGTGGTTTTAAGTGAATTAGTCAAAAATTTCAGGGCCCTTTGCCAAGCGGCGTCATATCTGTCTGCAGCAGAGAGCAGCTGGATTAAATAAAGGACACGGATTTATACTGATATCAAATTATGCCAGTGCTGTTAGGTTATTTTG